AGAAAAACTTGTTCAGCAGACATTACCTGCGGCGAAACCAACAACACCTGGAGAAATTCATTGTTCGGGTAATCTCTACTCGCAACCCCACTTGAACCATTTTACGACTCACACGCTGGGGCCCTTTAGGCTGCAATTTTAACAGATAAAACATCAATCCATATTTTCAATTCGAAATCTGTTGATAGAGAAACGAAATAATCGAAATATTTTACGGAAAAAAAACCCTGATTTCTACAGAAGTGGCGTGGCGTGTCCCTCTGATCACCAATTAAAGAGTGGGCCTCACCTGCCATTCGATTGAGTCGCCGATGGATGGACACTTGAGGCCGCATGGGTTCGTTGATGCGACTGAAGAGACGATCGTGTTGCGGGAAGAAGCAAACAAGGAGGTTGCCGATTTAGCTTTTGATGGGGATGGCGCTGCCGGCGACTGAGAGTGAGATTTAGGGTTCGGAAGTTTTCTTTGGTTTGGAGTTTGAAATATTTCAGCGCAATCGAATTTCTATAGAAAGGTACCGTAGTCGGTCTCCACGAATTTCAGAGAGGCGAGAGGCGAGATGAGGAGAGAAGAATCTGTAATGTAATGGCGTGTGAGGAAAGCTTGTTGTCAATCACTCAAATCTATCACAACAACATTACCATACTAACCCCAAAAAGTAAATTAAGAATACAAAAACCGACGTCGTTTGCTCCTCTTTGGGCAGGAAAAAGAAAAAAAACTGCCATGTGTCGTCCCATTAATAGGCCACGTGGCAATCTTATAAAGGCATACATTTTTTCTTATAAGAATAAGAGTGATATGTCGTGAACAAACGATTCCATTTTAATAAATAGTGAACAATTTTAGATTCCCCTCGGACTCAAATCTCTCAGCCCATCTCTCTCGATCACACCTAAAAACTATCTAACAAGACGAAAAGATGGATTTTTGTTTTGCTCCCAGGAATTGTTGTTTATATCTCACCATCATTTTCCTTTCACTGTTCTCGCCGCTCTCCGAGTGCAACCAGGTATATTATCTTGGCTGTTGTGGATGGATTCTTGAATGTCTACGGAAAGTGAATGATTTTGATTTTTAATGTCTTACGCTATTTTAGCATAAACAATTTCGAAAAGGGTTTTTTGTTATCTGTTTATTATCTTTCGACATTATATGGTGCTGAAGATGTTCTTATTGATGCATACAATCATACCGTTGACTGTTCTTTTTCCTGATCTTTATTCTTTTGTTGTTCAACTGTCCATGATTAGTTTTCTCTAAAAGTATTTGGCTTGCATTTGAAAAGGGTTCTGGAGAATACCCATTGGTTTGCATATAAATATCATTAGTTCCTTTTTTTCGACGTTTTCCCTATTTCATGAATTGAAATGGATGCTTATGGCTACCAATTTGGTTTTGATAGTGTTACTTTTAAGTTTGTAGTTTTGTGATGCTGGGATTGCATATGGCGAGTCGGCATGTGGAGCTGTTCCAGCTTACCCTTCAAAGATTTTGATAAAGGGAGGTACTGTTGTGAATGCCCATCATCAAGAAATCGCTGATGTGTACATAGAAGATGGAATAATCGTCGCAGTACAGTACAATATTGTGGTAAATTGGCGCATTAATGTTGTTGGATGATATGGTTTGTAGTTTGAAAAAATTGCTTCACTACATCCTTCTCACTTAGTGACCTGGATGACTGCATGTGCGGAAATTGAAGAATGTCGAAATAGAAGTTGAAACGGCGAATTAAAATTTTCACACAACACACACAAGCACTCACTCTTTGACATATACTTCCTGATTCCATCTTTGGTTGGCAGCGTAAGTTGAAATCTGGTATCAAACGAGATGCAGACATGTGAATGAGATTATTGCTTTAGCGTTAAACATGAGGAAGACTGACTAAACATCTTCTCTGAAAGTTTCCTTTATTCGAGAAGTTGCTCTGGGCTATACATTTGACAATGCGATTGTTATCTTGTTTTAATTTAATGCTTTTACATTCATCATCCATGGTAGTGCTGTTTCTAATCACTCTGCACACTGCTCATGGACCATGGGCACTGGGGTGTAGAGACTTGTCAAGCAAATGAAACGACGATAAATATTGAGCCTGATTTTTTTTATATATATTCTGATGTGTGGATGTGTAGGTTGGAGATGATGTTAAAATTATTGACGCCACTGGAAAGTTTGTCATGCCAGGTATATTTCCGTATTCAGTTCTGAATATGAAACTACTTCTTGGCCAGTTTCGTAATCTAGAGCATATTATCATCCATATGTTATTTATAAGTATATCTATATGGAGCAACTTACCCTCTGCTGTTAGAAATAAATTTTGTTTATGCTTAGCATGTCTAAAATAGAGAGCGGCTTCCGCCACTAAATTCAACGCCATATGCAACAATTATGCTTTCTTTTACATTTAAACTGATGATTTTGTTGAATACAGTTCATATATTACACTTAATTGTTTATCCATTGTCAATTCGGTTTTCTGTGAATGCTAATCTAGTTAAACATCCTAGTATGGTCCTGGGATAATTGAGTGGGGAATACATGGAAATAAAAAAACAATGTCCACACCAAATGTATCAACAGCCTATCTCTATGGGACTTCCGAAATTGTTATGCAACTAATCTTTGTCGAACATAGGGAGTACTCAGTAGACGATTCTTACTTCTAAATGCATTTGTTTTCTCATTTTGTAAGTGAAGATGGCATTTTTTACGCTTTATATATCATTAGAAGATGATAATTTATGAGAAAGATAATTCCTGAACTAAATATGAATCTTCCTTATGATTAAATTTGAAGGACTCCGAGGTTCTCTTCTGCAATCTTATTAAAATCATTGTAATGTTTGCCTCGCGTATGATGACAGGAGGTATTGATCCACATACACACTTGGCCATGGAGTTCATGGGCACCGAAACTATTGACGATTTTTTCAGCGGGCAGGCTGCTGCATTGGCTGGTGGGACCACAATGCATATCGATTTTGTTATTCCAGTGAATGGGAGTTTATCAGCTGGCCTCGAGTCTTATGTGAAAAAGGCAGAAAGATCGATCACCGATTATGGTTTCCACATGGCAATAACTAAATGGGACGAAACCGTTTCAAGAGAAATGGAGGTTATGGTCAAGGACAAAGGTCAATCTCATCTTTTCTCTTTTCTTTATGTATACTGGGGTTTACTGCATTTGTTGATAAACTCTAACTAGTTTTTTTCGTCATTCTATAGGGATTAATTCCTTCAAATTTTTCTTGGCCTATAAGGGTTCGCTAATGATCAATGATGACCTTCTGATCGAGGGGTTCAAGAAATGCAAATCTCTTGGTGCCTTGGCCATGGTTCACGCGGAGAATGGAGATGCAGTATTTGAAGGGCAGAAGAGAATGATTGAACTTGGCATTGTGGGTCCCGAGGGCCATGCTCTTTCAAGGCCACCAGTGGTAAAAGTCGTTTTTATCTTTATGTTGAAGCATGGGGATACAGCTAAATTTCGATAGCGTCAAATAGTTTTTGCTTTTGATGTTTTTTCTCAATATACGTCTCTTATTACTTTGGTAAACCTATTATTAAATTGTAAACACCCCTGGTATTAAGTTTCATAGATTCTGCAGAATTTTGTATTACCGTCCCCAACTTAGATATCATTTTCCTTTCTATGTGTATATTGCGGCTATTCCTGTTGTTCTCGCATTCCCTATATATGGTTCTCATTCCCCCTGTGAATGGTTTTTGCGATCATTAAGGAGCCTTTACAGATTGGTGAGAGAAACATTCTTTAGACTTTAGAGGAAGTTCATTGTATATGCCCGCATTTTCTGGTTCTACGCCACGCATTAACTGGTCACAGTGATCTGTCATTATGTCGATTTGCCAAAGCTGAATTGATGAAATAAAAAAATTTCTTTCCTTGAATTGATCTGATTCACTGTTTCGACATACCAGTATCGTGAGAATAAAACCTCGGTTTTCTATTTACTTTGAATGATCTTAGATGCCATGTTAGGAACCAATAACATAAAACTAAGGCACTTATTGAAGTACTAGACTTATGGTCAGGCTTGATTATCATGTACTTGATTTTTGATAGCGTCAAATAGTTTTCGCTTTTGCTGTTTTTTCTCATAATACGTCTCTTCATTACTTTGGCAAACCTATTATTAAATTGTAAACATGCCTGGAATTAAGTTTCATAGATTCTGCAGAATTTTGTATTACCTTCCCCAACTTAGGTATCATTTTCCTTTCGGTGTGTATATTGCGGTTATTCCTGTTGTTCTCGTATTCCCTATATATGGTTCTCATTCCCCCTGTGAACGGTTTTTGCGATCATTAAGGAGCCTTTACAGATTGGTGAGAGAAACATTCTTTTGAGGAAGTTCATTGTATATGCCCGCATTTTTTGGTTCTAGGCCACGCATTAGCTGGTCACAGTGATCTGTCATTATGTCGAATTTGCCAAAGCAGAATTGATGAAATAAAAAATCTTTCTCTCCTTGAATTGATCTGATTCACTGTTTCGACATACCAGTATTGTGAGAA